CTCTCTCTCTCTCTCTCTCTCTCTCTCTCTCTCTCTCTCTCTCTCTCTCTCTCTCTTCTCACACGCATTTTTCTGAAAGCCAGCACACATCATGATTTCGAACACTGATTTAAAATATAGCTTACATCGGAGAAACTTTTTTCCCTCTGTCCGGGTATAGAACTGTGGGCAATTTATGAATTGCAGTTAGAAAATTCTTCGTTTAAGGATTTCTCATCTTCTGCTGGTTTCGTTCGTTTGTTTAGATGCTAAATTAGGAAAGGGCGCTGGAGTGACTGTCAAAATGCAATACGAATAGTAGAATAGAAGAATCAAAGCGCTGAACCATTCTCACTATTTATTAGTTTCAGTAAAAGGAAATGTCGCGCGTGTTACTTCAGTAAAAGTAAAAGTACCGTTGCAACAAAGAAAGGGGAAATGTAAATGAGTTACTATCGCGTACCAGTACTTAAAATTAAGTTTAATCAGAGAGGTTTGATTTTAGTAAATACATATTTTAGTCAAATTTTAGTCAAACATGTTGAAGGCCAACAGTTAGTAGGAGTTACGTATCTGCTCTGGATTATATCCTCGCCATCCGGATTAGATCGGATAGCTACACAATTTTCGATTTTTGCTTTTTTCGCGAAATGTATTTTACAAAGCATGTTTCATATACTATGCTGGTTAAAAAAACGATATTCAAATAGACAACCAAATATGGACTTTTAAAAATTAATAGAATAAAACCGTATAACTCTAAATAATTTTTTTCGCATTTTTTTTCCTTCTGAAAAATGTGCCTGTTGTTACTTATTAATAATATCCGATCTTATCACAATGGCGACGATATACAGAAATCAACAAATCCAAGACATAAACTTCTCGGACACTTCGTACAGCTTGGCCAAGTCAAAATGACATGGAAACCAAAGATGGCTCACATAATTCCCCTTCCTTGTTCCCGTTGGACAACGTAATTTGGCATTTGTACCGGGTGACACCTAGGCTGAAACTAGATTCTGGGTATTTCCCGAATTCAAGAGCAGAGTTTTACTTTTAGACTTTCTTGTAACGCGTCCGCTTCCAATTTCACAACGCTACGTGGACATTACAAGGCTCTTTCCGGCGGAAAAAAAAATTTGGCGTCACCGACATGCCGTCATCGATAATTATGCTATGATAAGATATCGGGGGCCAAACATTTAGGTCTACAAACATCCAAGGCAACTTCATGGGTTTTTTTCCTCAAAAACATCTGATATTACACTTGAGTTGTCGCTTAGGGTATTCACTGTTGTGTTGCTCGTAGCCTGGCATTAGTCTTTTTCTTTTTTTTTTTGCTTGCTTATCCTTTTCAAAGCTTTGCTCCGTCGCGAGCACTCGAACCAAGAGTGCCTTGGAATTTCATTATTAAATGCCCTTGGTAAAAGTAATAAAACCGTAACTTTATTCTTTTTAGACTAGACTAGATATAGAGCACACAACTGACAAAATATTTTGCTACATGATTCTTTCTCACTTGGTCTTTCTAAACATGATTGGGGGGCTCCCGTGGCCTGGAGGTTAAGGTGTTACCCACTCATTCAATATGTCCCGGGTCCGGAGAGCGACAGAAATTTTTCTTCTCTAAAATTGTCTCCTCACGTACCGTCTTTCCAGCTCTCTAACAACGTTCTGTCATCTGCTTTCGTCTCCACTTTCTGCTCTCATGCATCCCCTCACCTGGGCTCCTGCATGGCTCTTTCTGCAACCTTTCTACTGCTACTCCTTGGCTCCTTCTAATTACTACTGTAGTCGTACAAAGGCAAAACAATCTCAAAGGTGTCATCCCGTTTGTTTAAAAACAAATTTAAAAAAAAGGGGGGGGGGGGGTATACATGCTCTTTGGTGTTGATCAAGGGGGTTATACAGTAAGGTTTGTTAGTTGTAATGCCCTTGGTGTTGATGCAAAGCCAGTCAATGACATAGAGTGATCTTGGTCTGGCCATTGTCACTCTCACATCCTGCTTTTGAATTATAAATAGGCCTTATCTTTTAAGATGAAAATTAATAATGTTGACACCCCCCCCCCTTTTCCCCCCCCCCCCCCCCAATCTCTTTGGTTCACCTATATCATGTGAGGTGTGTAAATCTCATAAAATTGGACATGATTGCACTTACATGTACTTTTTGCTGTTCAAGCTCTGCTTATCAAATGAAATCTTTGATGTTAGCTCTGATGTTAGGCTAGCCTAAAGTTGGTAGAAATATAATGAAAGGTTTAGGCCTAGACTGTGATAATGGCCGGTATAGCGCATCCTAAAACAGTCTATGCCATGCAAAGTTTCGAGGGCACTGGTAAATGAATACTTGAGCTAAAATTTTTATCACACTTTTTAGGAGGAAAAATGAAATTGAACGAGCAGAAAACCAATAGGCCGACACTGTAATGATTTTGATTGAAAGTCAATGGTTCTGGACAGCTCACTATATAGGGCCTACCGAAGGAGGTTACAGTAACTACCCCGGTGGTCTGCTAGTCTAACATCTGTCTAGCATTGCTAAAAGTGATAATTCTACCTAATTGTGTAGAAGAGCCACTTTAAAAACAAATTCATGGAGCACGTATATAGATATTTTGAGAATATTCTTATAATTATTATCGTAATAATGATATAACAGAACTACGAGAGTCTCGAATGAGAAACTGAAAATCAACGAATTTGTTGTTGTTTTTTTAATAAAAGTTTCATCTAGATCTAGTTTCGCAGTTTTCTTTGGGAGTGTTAAGAATTGAAATAAATATTGATTTAATTTCAAGGATTTCGAAAATAAAACAGAATCGTCATGCCTTTTAATTTATTTTAAATCAAAGATTCAAAATTATTCAGGGATACAGTCATTCTGTTTATAACCTCTTTGGGAGAAGCACAGTTTAGTAAGCCCACCGTTGTTATCGGTTTCGGCAGACCATGAACTACGAAACAAATAATCGATCTAGAGTTGCAATTTTTACCTCTGTTCTCAACTCTTTTTTGGTGCCGGGTGATGATATACACAGTAAGTAGTGATATCAATCAATACCTTTCAAGGAGTTTACAGCTCAGTTCAAAGCTCCTTGATACCATTAGATCTAGAAAATATATAGTTACTTATAGATCTAATTTCATTCAACTGCTGATCAAATCGACAGAAGCCTTGGCAGTTGAGATGATTGTACCCATGATGATAGATCCAGCGAAGTGAGGTAGATCTAGAATCTAGATCTTCCCCCCAGAGAAACTCGATCGAGATTTTGCCTGCTGAGGCTGAGGCTGTTTGTTGAGCAAGTACTTATTCTTTGATTGATATGATACATTACATTACGATGCCCCCATGATCAGTCCTCGTAATTCCCAGAGAAATTTTTCAGAAGAAGGAAAAAGTTGATTTATTTTGAAGCAGCGTTGTCAAACCTCTTCGTCTTCAGTTTCGCCTGACCGGAGTGTCTACGTACACCGCTGTCTGGCGTAGTACACAGTAACCGGGCACCTAGTCTCAGTATCTATGGACACTGTAACCGGGCACCTAGTCTCACCTAGTCTCAATATACGTACATGGTAACGGGGCGCCTAGTCTCAGTATCTTTTAGATCTACATGGTATCCGGAATGAAAATAAATCAATATTTGTCCTATGCTGTCACTTGCTGAAAAAAAAGAAGGCCACCTCTATTCTCACCCCGGGTGAGAATAGGGCAGGCAAGTCTTTTGGCTATTCTCACCCGGTGTGCGTTCACCATTATAGCCTAGGCCAACCAGTGTAGGGTTCACCCTGAACCACAGATTTCTACCCTGTGATAAAACAGAATTGTAGCTGTGCCGTGAACAAACGTTCCATTACTACTGTTAGCCTGAAAGCGTGCTATTTTCTCTGTGGGCAGTGGAGAGCGAGAGAAAAAGAGATAGAGAGGAGGAGCGCGAGAACTTTCGGGCAAAACAAAATGGCGACCCGCGTAGTTCGGCTCGATTCGAAAAGTTAAATAGCCGTAGCATCTTTGTAGACGACCAAATTAATTTGCTTTTGTGTTTTAACATCATTTTTTTACTTGGTTTTGGTCAATTTGATCATCCACACCGATAGACAGTATTCAGAAAGAGACAGAGAGAGAGAGGGGAGGAGTGAGAGAGGGGAGGAGTAGATCTTGCGAGAACTTCCAGGCAAAACAAAATTGCGACCCGCGTAGTTCGGCTCGATTCGAAAAGTGAAATAGCCATAGCATCTTTGTAGACGATCAAATTAGCTTATTTTTGTGCTATAACGTAATTTTTTCTTAGCTTTTATCAATTTGATCATCCACACCGATAGACAGAGTATTCCAAAATGAGGAAAAACAGGTCTTGTTTCACATCGGGTGAGAATAGCCAACGCTGGCAAGTCTCACCCGGAGTGAGAGGTCGATCGTATTATTTTTATTCTCACCCCGGGTGAGGATAGCCACTTCCAAAAAAGAAAGTCATACACAAGCGTCTTGTCGGGCTCGCCATCATGACCGGTCAGTGAACCTGTGCGGGCGCATCACATTGTCAGTACCGGTTGGGGTCACCACAGTTCGTTCAAAGTCTGTGCGCTGCGAAGTATAGGGCTCCGGAATGGGGGATTATTGATTTTTTTAAAGGCACAGCCGGGGGAGGGGTGGGGATGAAGGCAACATCGGATGACAAAAACTGAACTTGGAGTCTTGGACTGCCCGCTTACCGTGATAGAGAGACTACGTGCCCGGTTGCCGGTTACCGTGTGCGTAGATATTGAGGCTACATGCCCGGTTACTGTGTACATAGACACTGAGCCTAGGAGCCCGGTTACTGTGTACGTAGACACTCTGTTCGCATAAAACCGCTCAAAACAATAAATGGTGGTTTTAATTAATTAGGCCTAGATCGATCTAGATTAGATTTAGATCTAGAATCTAGATCTAGATCTAGATCTACATTTAAAAAATAAATATTGGATTTCTTATGTAATGACGCTTTTATGAGGAATATTTACGCTACCGTGGTTGTGATCAGACCTCGTAAGTGACGACTATATATATATATATTGCCGTTTACGAGGTTTGATCACTGTGGAATGTTGGTGCATATAGATCTACTCATAAGTGACAATATTTTCAGACGACAGAAGAACTGGCCTCTGTAGATGGTAGTCAGGACACCTTAGTGAGATCAGGGAGGTTAGGGTTTGATCCCCAGCTGGGTTATAATTAAAACCTTATAATTTGCATTCTCTTGGCTGCCGCACCCTGCACTGGAGACTAGAGACGTGCCAGGATTGTTTGCCCTTTGCCAGAACGAGGCTGGATGATGCTTGTAAATTTTTTTATTTACTCATTTTACAAAGAAACTCCATAGAGCATCTTGTGGTTAAATTTAAAAACAAAAGATTAAGCTACTTGTCAGTAATGTCAAATTAAAGAATAAAGATCATGCACATGGGAGAACTTTGGCACCAGGCAAAGATCTCCAAAGTCACTCACACACACACACACACACACACACATACACACACACACACTCAAACAGACAAAGAAACACACACATGATGAGGATAAGTAAAATTATTATGAAACAGATGAGATTGAATAGAGTGCTATTTGTAATGGCGCACACATTGTGAATAAAATACTTCTTGGGGCGTCTTCTCAAAGTGTGTGAGAACAGCATTTCTATATATAGTAACACGAGTAACAGCAAACATCTGAATAAATTATCACTGTTTCACTATTAGCTTTAGTTTGAAGTCAGTGATTCATAACGCAAATTGGCAGACAATTCTCCCTCCCTTTTTTATGTCAAACGTAGCATCTCACATCCTTTGTCACCAAGTTATCTATTGTAAAGTTGTGCAAGGACAATTTAGTGCTGTAATAAAGCGATGGAGCTTATAGACAAGGCGCCAAGAGGGCAGACTGAAGGTCCATGGCGATTACCCAGATTTTTACTATTGCTTGCTTCAACCAGTTTCTTATTGTTGCCCTTTTAAAAGCTTGAACTTTTGACTTTCCGTCACTGATACGTTTCCAAATCTCATCATCGACTTTTTCGTCCTTATGGCCTACACACAAGTCTCACTGACTCGTTAACAGACACATTATTTTGTTCTTGGGAAATGCCCCTTAATATCGAGATGGCCAAAGGCGGGGTTTTTTTCTGATATCAAAGGGCAACATATTTCTGTGAAGTTTGATAATACTATAGAAAACTGGCTCTACATACAACTTTCCTGCTTTGTTTTCGACAATAATGAGAACCCAATGTGGACAATTTTGCAAAGAAATCTTCTATAAGAAATCTTTTCAGCGGGGATGCTTTCTTCTTGTGAGGGTTGTCTCTTGCGGCAGTGTCTGGGCAACGCTCTGTCCTGGCAGTTTCATTGGTGACAGAAGTGTCGCCATCCACGACAATGTTCCTAATACCTCAATCACCAAGAGCTGTTGCCCTGGGGTACAGGCTTTTGCAAACAACAAGGAAGTTCTGGCGTTCTTTTTCCAAAAGATATTCCACATCCATTTCATATCTTGAGGTGCCCAGGATTCTCTTCCGTTCGGGCGTTTAATGTATGCTGCTTTTCCTTCTCAGTACAGGGGCCAGATATGATTGAGAACTTTCTGTCTGTCACATTCGGAAAGTTCTTTGCCTTTCAAACCATTATTTTTTTTAAGGCAACTTCCAGTTTTGTTTCCCATTGTGTACATAAGGTATCAATGTCTATGGAGTTAGGCTAGGACCACTTCTCCTGAAGAGAGCCAGAAAACTAGTGTAGGCCTATTGTCATTGACAACGGTCAACGTTTTGAATTTTTTTATTTTTAGTTATCAAGATATCTAATCTAGATCTCTAGATCTACCGTTAATTTGAGCTTGTGGGAGACAACACTCCTCATCTGGCATGATCCGACCCATAGGCATACAGTCTATAGAGATAGACTTCTAGTTGGTTAAGTAAAAGACCTAGCCCTACTTAACTAGAAATCTACTAAGAATAAAATTAGGCCCTATACTAAGTTAACATTAAGAAGTTCTCAGTAGATGGATTCAATGATGACTAATACAGTCGAACCTGTGTAAGATGGAATCGCAGGGGAGCCAGAAAAATTTGTTCCATCTTAGACTGGGGATTTAGGGAGGAGATGGATGGAGGTTTCAAAGGCCCAGCTGGTGGGATCAAGGGTCACTTGTCCGGTCTGCAAGCAGTGGTCAAAACTTCACACCTCTCAACTGCTGTCTGATAATAACATGCGCCAGTCTTACTTATCCAATTACTGCCAGTGCTTGCATTTCATAGGACCACTGTCTGACCTATTAAAAACAGAAATGTTTGAACATCTCCTTTGCTTCCACCCTTAGCCCCACCCATCGGTGTGACAAGCACAGTCAACCAATGCCACCCCTCACTGCCATGTAACTACAATTCGAGGAAGTCTTTTCTCAGCTGGCTGTACGATCAGGGCGGCAGGCATTAGTCAAACTCATTTCCCATCTTTGGATTCTGGCTACCCAGGAAAGTTTCTGTGGCAGCTCGCATCTCGAGCACTTTCACTGGTACTCATGAGATTTCACTCCCACACCACCCTGACCATCTACATCGCTCAGGACTCCCTTAGATGGGGTAACATATACCCCAAGGAGGTTATACAACAAGGTCCTTGATCTACCCCACAAGTGCACTCCTACTCCCCTTCCTTGCCTGGCGGCATAGCATTAAGTTTAGAGCCAGCGGAACCAAACTTGTGAGTTTTGTTTCAAATCAGGGCTGAGCGGGCAAAGCATTTTCCATCTTAGACAGGTAATACCCTCGGAAGGGAGCGACGTTTTCTTTCTGTTTCAGCATTGGACAGGTCTCCATTTTAAACAGGTAATTAAAGAGGAATATAATATCAAGGGGGGAGCGGGAAGATTCCATTAAGACAGGTTTCTGTTAAGGCAGGTTTGACTGCATTTCTCGTAGGATTGCCACAGGACTCTTGCCTGCTTCAGGACAAAATCTCTCTCTGCCTCTTTCAACCTAGACCCTGAAACCTAAACTTAATGTGTGTAATTATACAGTAGAACTCGGCTATAGTGAGACTTTGGATCCTGAAGAAAAATCACGCTGTAGTGGAGTTCCCGCTATAGGAATGCAAAGGGGAAATTACCATATTAGTCTTCCTTTTCTTGTCAACTTCGTTGACTGTCTTGACCTTTATTTCGAGTGAGAAGCATTTCCTTTAGTCTTTGTTGGAAGCCATCTTTTCCTCGGTTTGTTGCTTGTGCTGTCTATCGTTACCGTACCCGGTACCGGTAGGTCTACAGTAGAACTAAGTGGATGCATGCGTACGCCTGAGCATCAACGATCACAATTCAATGAATTATGATTCACACACTACACGCTCTCCTCTTCTTTTACTTTTTGGCCTAACCTATGGCTAAGGCCTATTATACGCTCCTATACGGTTCTAAACATATAGGCTTTGACTCATCACTTTAAATTTTGGAGTGGCTCTCGTAAAGCGTCTCTCCACACCATCTCTCTCTGCCGCCTGCCCCTCCTCACTCATCACTGGACTGGCCAATCACAACGCTTCTCTGCTGACTGCCTGTTTGGAACCTGCCTATAGCCCCCTACCCCTCAGCCCCTTCTCTTCCCAGCAGCTAGAGCTCGCTCGGTCTCTCCCGCTGTATCCAAGTTCAGGCCTTTCCTTGCCCCGTTATACCCAAACAATGGTAATTGAGTTTGAATAGATAAAAAGGGGGATTCTGGTGAGATCCTGCTGCAGCGGGGCCGCTATAGTCATGTTCTACTGTATAGATCTACATCACTTTTGGAGTGGTTCACGTAACGCATCTCTCTCTAAGCCTACCGCCTGCCCCACCTCACTCATCTCTTGACTAGCCAATCACTACGCGCACCGCTGATTGCCTGTTTGGAGCCTACCTACAGCTCCCCACTCTCCAGCTAGAGCTCGCTTGATCTCTCCCGCTGTATCCGAGTTCGGGACTTTTCTTGCCCCGCTATATTCAAGCATCATAAGTAATTGAGTTTACAAAGGAAAAAAAATCGGGATTCCGGTAAGGTCCCGCTGTAGGGATGGTCCTGCTATAGTGGGTACCACTATAGCCCTGTTCTACTGTAGTATTTGCTGCCAAAAAGGGTTCTCTGCCTGTCTCTGTTCTGGGCGATTTCTGGTGTGTCAGGCAATTGTTAGTGAAGTAGTTTCATAATGAATTACAATCCTTCATTGAAGGATTGTAACTAATTATAAAACTATCTGTTTTACTAAGTTTCCTTTGTTTACAATCCTTTTTGGCTTTCATCCCGAGGTTAACATGTTGTCTTCACCAGGGGTGATGACGTCCCCCAAGATTTTCACCTGTTTTCTCTTCGTGACGTTTCTGTAGGGATAGATTTATTTATCGGGTAGGGGTACTAGCTGCTAACCCTGTGCTCAGTCTCCAACATGGAGGACAAGGTGTATCTCCATTTGGGAAGGCTCTTCTTGTTGTGCTATTTATATAATTTAGTTGCCTCTTACAACTTGCTAGTCAATGTTTACCTTATTCTTCTCAAGAGACAGGGATTGCAGTGCAGCAGGAAGACAAAATGCTATGGTAGTAAAAAAAAAAGACCTTATGATGACAAGTGTGTGATGGGATTAGACCTGTTAGTGTTATTCTGTTTTAGTATGTATTTTTAATTTAGAGTAGGGCAAAAATGTGCTATCCTAAAGGTTGAGGGGAGAGGGGGCATGGCTGGCAATTTTCCAGTTGGGAAAATTTTATCACTTGGCGTATTCAGTGGTAATAAGGTACGATATTTTACCATTAAATTTTGCTGATAACTCTTGTTTTCTCTGTCTAAGTCAATTATTTTCTTAAGTTTGTCTGTCCTTAAAAGATTCACAAGAAACATTCTGTGATGTTTTATTTTCATTTTCAGACTTTTAAATTATATGGCGCTGTGTGAAGTCCCTAACGTAGCCGGGGTGCACCATATATAAATTTGTTTTGCTCAACAGCACCTCTTCTGGAAGTGCTGCTGTTGCTCAATATGATATAATATACATCACACAGGGTAGTGAATTTAAGCCTGAAAATAAACTACCAGTGGATACATGTTTCTGGTGAACATTCTTTAAAATAAGAGGTGGCGATATAAGAATAGAATGAATAGAGAGAAAACATGTTACAAGGGAAATCTGAGTATTTAAACAACTTAAGTACTTTATTAACCAAGTACACCAAGTATGAATATGAAACTTTGCAAAATGGAAAATTTCAGAGCAGAGAGGGAGGATGATGGATCAGTGCTGGCTACAATACCACTATATTGTCTGCTATTATTATTATATAGTCCAATTATTGTGGTATTTAGACTTGATTTTATTTTTTTAGTTATAATTTGATTTGAAATTTCTATTGAGATATATAAAGTGTCACAACGCGATTTAATCAGGCGCTCATCAGTTTTTGGGCATATAGAATTATTGGTATCCTCTCAAAGTTGTTCATTTGTTTTGCTTTTGGTGAATAAAATACCCATCTACCTTGAATATAAGTTGAGATATTTGCGATTGATGGAGGTGGGGGTCGCGTGGTGTCAGAGATAAAATTAACGAGAAAATGGCCGCCAAAGTTTAGTGACTTCCAAGTTTTGTCCCTGACTGTGATCAATATTTTTCAGTAAAATCCACTCAGAATGTGTTTTTAAATAATAGACGTTTAATGTGTTGAGCCAAAAAAAGAAATATCTAACAAAATCGCCCAATGGCCAGAAAAATGCAGATTTCTTTGATTTCATTATTTTGATGAGTGCCTGACTTCACCATGACGTCTCACGTATATTGATGTCTCTCAAATGTTCTCAGATTATGTTGTAGACTGATTCCTGTTTGATGAGGAGTTTTCTTAGTGATATCAGGGACTTTTATGTTGACCCTACTTTAACCGGGGGGGAAAAAAGGATTATAATACCGTTTATGGTAAAAGAACATTTTTCATACTTTTATTGCATTAACTATTTATCATTTTACTGGCTTTGAAATAATTATTATAGGTGTCTCTATGTGTTATTGATTACTTTCAGAGGTGAACATCATACAACATGTCAGATATAGAGCATCAAATCAAAGCAATTCAAAATGGCATGCCAGTGTCAGTGGAAAAGAGGCTGGATATTGCTCCAGAAGAAGAAAGTAAGTTCTTTTTCGTATTTCTAAATAAGAGGCAGTGGAAATTAGGTCTCTGTCTCAATGATGACTAGCTAATTTTATGAAAGTGATAACGGTCTTTTGCAATGTGGGTAAGCAATAAATGGTCGTCTTTGTACTTTCGTTAAAAGTGAAAGTAAAACTCTTCATCTCTAGGTTTCTCTCCCCGGGGTGGTGCCACTGACTGAAGTGTCTTTAGGCCTTTCCCAAAGGGGGGACATTAACATGTTCTTAAGCACAGTAGAATTGTAAATGGGCTGATTCATCAATGTCATGCTCCAGTGGCGGTGGGTAGTGAAGGGCTCACGGGCTTGAGCCCCTACCCTCTCCCCAATCACCATCCCCAACTCTATCCCAAAGTAAATGAAAGTTTCTCCATAATGAAATAAGCAGTTGAAACCGTTATGACCGCACGCAATGAACCCAGAGTGATCAACCTGGCGGCTTGCTCGCTTATCCAATCACTGTTGTCCCCGCTTACAACTATAGTAACCCAGCAGCCAATCAAATGTCTTTAGGGCTCAGCAAAGATGAGCCCTTTTCCCACAGTCCATCCTTAATGAAAGTCTTCTTGTAAAAAGGTAGAAGACTGGGGAAAAATAACACTGTACCGAGGGCTCACGCTCTCCTAGCCCTGACAATGGGGTGAAAGTTTACGACACACTTTCCCCTACTGACACAGATACCTATGCGCTCATTGGTTCTTTGTTGGGTGCGTTCAACTTTCTCGACTACACGGCCTAATCCAGCTCATAGAAGTATTATGTTTGAAGTGCTGTGTGTGCATGTTTGTGTTTGTGCTGCTGAGATTTAACAGTTATAACTTTTTCATCACACGAAAACTAATTAGAGGAAATTTGGAGGTGAATCGGTTTCATCCCCACCATCAACAAGAATTTAACTAAGAACAAAGAGATTGAAAACAAAGGCAACTCTTCTCGTTTGAATGGTTCTCAAACTGCCGTGGCTCACCGTGAGTATAGAAAAATCATCACTGTTTAATTTTTATTGCTTGCTATTTGGTGGTAAAAAACTGGAAGAAACCTAAGCCCCACCCAAATTTTGGTCCACCCACCGCCACTGTCATGCTCATAACTATGCTTGAACTGCAATAGGGAACTGCTGCTTTTTCTTTCTTAATCCTTACTATCATCATTTTTCCTCTACTTCTTTTGTATGTTTGTCACACTCTTGTGAACCTCTATTTCCGGGATGCCTTGATAGTGGAAGTAGACTTTGTGCTGTTGAAGCTAGATAGGTGGGCAGAGTAAGCCTGATTCCCTGCAAAGATTTCTCTGTTGACATCCTGCCCTTTGCGCTCATATGACCTTATGCAGTTGCAAGCACCGTAAAAACTCTACTAAACTTAAAAACTAAACTAACATCTCTATGTTTGTTAGTTTGTACCTTCATGAATAGAGAACCTAATAGAGTGTATGAACTCATTAAGCCTTTGCCTGTAAGTGGGGGTTTCTTCTTATGCCTTACAAAACCCTTTCCTATTCAAATAAAAAAGGTGCTACAGCTTTGAAATTTGTGTATGTTGTGCGTAATATGATGTTTCAGCTATGGGAGCAGGGAAATAATAGTCAGGCCTTCAGAAGAAATCTTACAAATATTTTAAGTTCTGAAATGGATGTATTTTTTAAAATGCAAAATGTGATGTGTCGAGTTCGGGTTGAGGAACGTGCATTGTTCCTTTCGATCAATTGAAAGCGTATTGTTGTGCGATGCAAGACGGCGAGAAAAATAACAATGGATGAGACGAATTCATTGAAGTTTTCTTGTGTCGTCATCAAATCTTAACGTGTTATGCACTAACCTATGCTGAATAAAAATTAAGATCTTTCAAGACCAGATTTGGGAATAATAAAAGTAAACAAAGCAGTTGTATGTCAGTGGGAAAGATCTTATGCTACATGTCTGCTTTTAGTAGCTTGCATTTGTTGCCTCAGACTACTGTGCACCAGCAGTGGAATTTTAGTTGCAGCATTATATTGACGAGCGCCTGATTTCACCATGATGCTTCATATATCTCAAGCAAACAATATTTTATTCAATATGCCAGTTGCACAAGCCTTACCATTAGGAACCATTCTGTGGAGGGTTTTTTTACCATAAGTTTGTGAGCATTTTGGCATACAGTCGAATCTGCTCTTACTGCGCTTCTATATCTATAAGAAAATCACCTGTACAAATGTCCACTTTCCATTCTGATTTATTTTCCCCCCTCATTTTTCAATTTTTAAAAATTACAATGTCCTCTTGTCTAAGACAAACATTTTTTCCTCACCGATGGGTGGCAGTCCTAGACAATTTTAACTGTATTTTAAGTAAGGTGGTGTAGTGGGCAGTCTGCTATGACTTGGGTATGTAATATACTGCAGTTTAGCATTGTGATATTATAGTGCATCATGTTTTGAATGGCTTTTTTGTTTGTTGTAAAGATAAATAAATGGGGTCTTCCTTTTCCTTTTCTATGTTTTTATGAGTTAATCAGTCATTTCAATAGAAGTCATAAAGAGGGAATGTAGTTAATGTCTGTTTTGACTTTACCAATCTTTTTTATTCATACTGCTGTTTATTTATGTTATCTGTTACAGTGACGTTTATACCGATGACCAAAATGAACATTTGCTACATTTGCTGTAGTATACTGTTTGATGACCAAGGGCGAGTTCTTATGATTCAAGAGGCGAAGAAATCATGTCACGGGTTGTGGTACTTACCAGCCGGTCGCTTGGAACCTGGTGAAACCTTACTTGTAAATATATTCACATCTCGTTTGTGTTTTTCTTACATTATTTCCTTGCGTCCATCTACTCTCAATGTATATTTACACATTCATATGACATGAGTGTACATTGTGCAGTCTCTTGTTTAGTTTTTGCCTGTCATGTGTCCCACTTATATTTACAAACATGCACACACATGCATGAACGCACAGAAGTAATACACATGCACCCACACACACGTACATACACACACACACACTCACACCCACTGAGACACACACACTCACACACAGACACAGACAGGCACCACTGTTCACCAGCTTTAGAATTTTAGTTGTGGGGGGGGGGTCCCCTTATCACGCGGGGGTCACGGGGGTCAGCCCTCTGTTACCACTCTGGCTGGACTGGCTTACATTTTGGTACATTTTTCTACTCAAAAGTTTTAGGTGTATCCTTGTATTTATGATAATTATCATTTAATGCACCCAAAGTCTGCATTTCTGCTCTTGAGACTCAAAAAAGAATTTACATTGTAACTTGTCTAATCATTACATTAGACGCACTGAAGTCAGCAATGCTAAATTGTGGATTTGTTTGGACAACTGTGTATGAAAAGAAATCAGTATTTAAAGAATGGCTCAATAAAAATGGTAGAAATTTGGATCATGAACAGTATACGACAGATGAAGATACTCACAAAACCTATCTGTGCACATGGTAGAAAGCTCTGCACCTTAATGTACCACGCACACAATTCGCACATGTAATTTCTTCACATTTTACTTAATTTGTCAAATACCACCGTGAATATCTGCAAATTTTCACGAAATTTTATATGAATTTATGCTGTGGTCTCTCTAAGCAGAAGTACTCTCCTTCGAATTGAGCCCAGTGACACAAGTTTTTTAAAAAAACACGGTGACTATAGATGAAGTCTGGATTTATCACTTTGATCCAGAACAAAAAAATGTCCTCCATGCAATGGTAAACTCTTTCTTCTCCCTTACCAAAAAAGGCAAAGGTAACACTGTCAAGTGGAAAGGTCATGCTGTTGTGTTTCTGGGATTGTGAAGGTATCATGACTGACTACCTGGAAAATGGAAAAACAGGAGACTACTGCTGGGGCTTGCTGATAAAATTGTGGTCCGAATGGTTGAGAAAAAGGCGTGGAAAATTCTGTAATGGGGTCCTCCCATTTCATGACAACGCCCCTGGACACAGGGCACAACAAGCAGCCCAGGAAATCCTGCCACACCCAGCTTATTCACCAGACCTAGCCACCTCAGACTTTTTCCTGTTTCCTAATCTTAGAAAATTACTCAAAGGACGTCGTTTCCATGACAACGAGAACGCCATTGAAGCTGTTGAAGACTGGTCGAGGTCATTTTTCTCTCAAAGACTTTTGAAGGTCAAAGAGAGGTGGCAGAAATATGTTACTCTGCATGGTGACTATGTAGAGAAAAAAAAAAGTGTGTGTGCCAAGTTACAAAGCTCTATCTTTATTCCTTCATATTTAGACCAAAGACTTCTTGAAACCCCTCGTAAAAGTAACAGAATTGGGTGAAAAGTGACGCCCTGACACACACACACACACCCACACACACACGCGCGCGTGCCCACTTGCAGATGCACAAGCACACACACACAAACACACATGTGCTCGCACACACATACACATACACACACACACTCATACGCACTACCCACAGACACACACAAACACGCAAATGTGCACTCAAACACTCTCATACATAAATACATACACAAATGCATACACATTGCAAATATATTTAAAGAATAAGATTTTTGTATCAGTACATAAAAAAAATATTTTTATAGCAATTGCTGAAGCACAGAAAGTGTCTGATAATGACTGCCATTTTTGACGCAAAGTCAAGCTAGCAGAATCAATAACCTTACCAAATCCACATGATGTTACATGTTAATTCATTGTATTATATTAGTGGAAGTGAGTATTTCAACTGTGCTTTATGCAATGATAGAATATATTTTTTAACACAGGGTGGTTTATATGTTAATGAGTAAATTAAGCGGATGGTTGGAGGCACCACTAAGCGACCTCTGTGCTTTCTTGTGTTTCTCCATTTTTATTAACAGCGAAAACAGTTCACAACAAAGAGTAAGCTCAAGAAGAAGTCACATTTTCACTGTTGAAAAAATGGATATACAACAAGAAAGCAGCGGGGTCGCGACTAGTAGGTCCTACTTCAGTACTTTCCCTCTCTTGTTTTTGTCTGTCTGTCTTAATTCTTCACAGCACTAAATGATCAATGTGTCAATGTGCTTCTCTTTACTCAAGCCAATAAAAAGAACTGTTGGGCTAAGGTATTTTACTGTACTGCTTCTTTATTTTCAGGATGGAGCAAAGAGAGAGGTGTTGGAGGAAAGCGGCTTGACCTGTGATCTGACTGCGCTAATTGCTGTAGAAATCAACGGTACCTGGCAGCGATTCACTTTCACTGGAAAAATTACTGGTGAGGGGAAACGTTAAGAAGGATTTGTTCTTGGTGTGTGTTGAAAAGTTTTTAGTAGTTTAAGGATTGAAGACTCTGTGAGGGCTCATATGACCTTATTATGCCGTAAAACCTTACTAGCAAAACGAAGACTCTGTGTGTCTCCTGCAGACTGGCAATTATGCTATTCTGATTTGATTGGGATACCTGCTTTTTTACTGCAAATATCAAGCATCCCAGTTTTTCTGATTTCGATCACATTTATCCTCATTCTTTGTTTTGTTTCGTCGGTTGTGCTTGATATAAAAAATAAACTTTCTTTGCCTTCTTTTTTGACTGAAGCAACGCTTGGACTTTTTATCTGCATGAACTCGGAATGATATTATCAGAAATATTCCTGACGGATCTAGTAGTTATTTTGCCTAGGCTATTTCATCTATAATTGGAATAGTATTGATTTGGTATTCAAACGTGGATACTGTCAAGATTTACTTTCGCTTTTGTTATCACCCAGAATTCTCTGATCATGATGTGATAACAATAAAGACATGCAAATGATCAATATTATTCGCTGTTCTGCTGTTGCTTTAAAAACGAACTCTGTACAAGTTCTTGTTAGTCAGGCTTGTCATCAAGAGATCTCTGTGGAACTATCTCAAATGTGCATTCGCATCACGTGACATTACCTCGTGTGAGTACTGCTTGTGTCTGGAACCGTTTGTTGTCAGGGTCAATAAGTTTATTCTCACTGGTCGAAGTGCCTTTCTAGACTTATCAATGGGATGTTGGGGAATTTTTTTTTAGAGACTGAGATTTGGAGTGCATGATGTGATAATTCAGGATACAAAAAAAAAAACAAGACAAAAAACAAACTTTCCCCCAGGGCGGTGCCACTGGCTGAAGTGTCTTTCTAGACTTATCAATGGGATGTTGGGGAATTTTTTTTTAGAGACTGAGATTTGGAGTGCATGATGTGATAATTCAGAAAACAAAAAAAAAAACAAGACAAATAAAACCCTGTCACACCAGGAGGCGTAAGGGGAGGGGTGGGTTCTACGGAAAGCGCGGGGTGGCGAACACCTCTCACTTTCCCAGCCATACCACCCCCTCCCCTCCCCAAACAGCGCCATTGCTGGAAGTGTGAGGGGTTTTTAGGGCTTGTCAGCGTGCGGCACGCGGGCAGAAGTATCG